TTCATCCTCATGAAAGACGAGCAAGCAGCCACGTAAGGGAATGCAAAGGGTACAACTGCTCTAAAGGAAGATGGACCTTTGATTGCAGAGGGAGAAAGATTTTTCTAGAATCAGAATTACTATTAATTTTAAATTTAACAATCAATGTAAGTGACAGATCTCTTAGTGGCCAATGCAGGCTAAGACATGAACACCCAATGAGAGAGGTTGACACTTGATCTTGCCCCAGCCCAGTGCAATAAAATCTGTAGTAAAGGACATTTTATAAAGCACACAATAGAAAATAGAAACAACAAAGCTTACACAGGAGCTCTAAGACTGCCTAACTTATACCTCTTGTAGCCCTAAGAATGCTCTTTAGTCTGGCTGTTTCCATACTAGATGATAGGTGTCTCTGATGTTAGCTATGTTGCATCAAGAGCCCCACCAAAATCAAGGCGACATTTCTAGGCAGCTTTTTGCAATGCAGCAGCCTGAACACCGGCATTTTGTTCCCACAGTCCAACACTGTGCACAGTGGTAGTGAAAGCAATGAGTTTTGCAGCCAAAATAAAGCCTCATAAAGTACTACCTGCCATCAGGACCTTGAGGTCCCTTTACTCTTCCTCCCTCCTGTCTCTCAGTGGATTCTTGATTGCTTTTACTTTTTCCCTCCCGCCCCTTGAAGTTTCCTGAACTTCCTCTTTCTGGATACCAGGAGACATGTTGGGCCACCAGCCCCTGTCTGCTCTGAGAACAAACCACTTGCCTCCTCCATGGCTGTGAGGTGTTTTGGCGCTAACCTCTACTGCACAGGACCAGGTGCTGGCAAGGGCCCCACAAGAGCTGAATAAGACTTTTAAGATATGATCCTGGGTTAGTGCCTGGACTGGCAACCCAGGGAGCAGAACGGGTAAGACTTGGAAATGCTACGGGAGAGAAAGAAGCCCCTTTTTAAAAACTTGTCTTCACCCTGTGAAAGTTAGAGTACTGTGGGATTGGAGCAGTCTGAGCAAAGTAGCTCCACAGCTAGTCCAAGACACGGCTGGAGAGCACTCCCCTAGCTTCCTGCACGCAAACGTGCAATGTCTGGCCTGACTTCTGAGACTGGGTGCTGGATTTAGGACCTGGCCATCAAGTGCTGTCATTAAATGATGTGCTAAGAATGGAGAAATGTCACTGAAGAACTTCCAAAGCTCTGATTTCATAGCTCATACATCCTCTTGCTGCCAAACTTGTTTCCAGAATGAAAACTGATCCCCTGCTCAACGGGGAAATGTGAGAGCACCTACATCCACCAGAAAGAAGAAAGGAAAGTGCCTTGGTCACAATCCTTCCTACTCTGCCTACACTGAACCTCAGCCAGAGGCACTGACTCTGGGAATGGGTTTCTTAAAAACTTTAAGAAACGGCAGACACCTGGCTCAGCTTCTGTATTTTAGTCGCCTTCCATTTCCATTATGCCTAACTGAAAACAAGCAGGTCTTCCATACTTGGCCATGATTCTGGATCTAAATAATCTCTGGACACCAACTGCTCTTGCCCATAGCGACTGAAATCAATGGGACTTCACACACTGGTGCGGGAGTCTCCACCAGAGAGTGATGATCATAGAATCATTAGGGTTGGAAGGGACCTTAAAGGTCATCTAGTTCCAGCCCCCCCCTTGCTATGGGCAGGGACACCTTCCACTAGACCAGGTTGCTCAAAGCCCCATCCAACCTGGCCTTGAACACTTCCGTGGAGGGGGCATCCACAACTTCTCTGGGCAACCTGTTCCAGTGTTTCACCACCCTCAGCATAAAAAACTTATTCCTTATATCTGGTCTGAATCTACCCTCTTTTAGTTTAAAGCCATTCCCCCTTGTCCTGTCGCAACAGGCCCTGCTAAAAAGTTTGCTGCCATCTTTTTTATAAGCCCCCTTTAAGTACTGGAAGGCTGCAATAAGGTCTCCCCGAAGCCTTCTCTTCTCCAGGCTGAACAACCCCAACTCTCTCAGCCTGTAAGATCAGAGCTTTTGTCTGCAATTCATGCATGCCTAAGAGTGCTAAAGAAATAATAGGAAACAACGAGACTAATAATTGACATATCAAGGAATATATATTCCTTTGTCATTAGATTATGCTTAGAATATATTGGGTAAAATTAATACAATTACTTTGAGTAAAAAAGCCTACAGGCTATCAGTACCAGTATTTATCTTTAAAGTCTTTTTATGCGTATTAATGACAACATCGCTTAAAGACTGATAAGTTATACTGATTTTACTGATGGGGAAGCAGAGGTTAAGTAAGTTTTTTAAGGCCACACAGCAAGTATGTGCTTGGATTTATAACTCCCAAATCTGCCTTCTGCTCAGTCCAGCAGGCCATGCTGACTCACTGTGGAATGCGTATTTCCAGCAAACTCTTAAGGGACAGGAGGAATCAAAAGCAACAAAAGGTACAGAGAAAGTAAGCATTAATTCTAAAAAATAAGTGTTTTCGGCCATTCAAAAAACGTGAGTCAACTTCTGTTTAAGTTGTCACACCTCACCAGTGTGTTACCCAGAAACAGGAGCACTAGAATAACACGAGGGAGATTGTTCTGACAGTGATTTTAACAAAACTGGAAGTCAGACACAACAGCCTTATGTCATGAGATTTCCAGTACATTTCCAGTAATGTGTGTCTGAGATTTCAAATGAAGTTTATGGAGATTTATCCCAAAGTGGCTTTAAAGTTCAGAGAAGCCAGAACTGTTCCCTTCCACGCAGATCCTGGCATCCACAAGACTGTAAGAAACCAGCAGTGATACTGTTATTCCAGCTTCTGGAAGACTATTTCTATGCTACTGCTCTATATTATGTAAGTCTGCTCCTTAGTGTTGGACCTATCTGTATGCACTGGAACATTTAAAAAAAACAAACCTGTTTTAAGCAAATTAAGAATTTAAATATTAATTTACTCCTCTTAAAGATGAAGTATTTTAGGAAAACTAAGAAAATTAAATGGAACTGACCCTGCAATTTCAAAGACCTTTTGTCAGACATTAACCAAGACGAGTGCGAAAGGCAGTGCCGATTACGTGACAATACTGTAACTAGACCGTCTGGAATCTGGCTCTGGAGTGGGAATAAAGAATTCATTTCCATTCCATTAAGAGTCTCCATCCATAAAAAGTTCATTTCCTTTTATAGGTAAACAGAAGGGAGATGCCCAACCTGACATAGCTCCCTGAATAATCAGGCGGGACTTGTAAAGGCCTTAATGCACAGAGCGGTTCAGGCTGCAAACTGCCTGCTCCATGTACCCTCTTCCGACTGCATCTCATTTATGCTTATGCAACTCATGTCATGGGATAAATCCCAACCTATTGCTGGCAGGTTCAAATTTAAGTACTTACAACAATCTTTTTTGTGCACTGAAAGAGAGCTAGAGACTGAGATTCAAGTGACAAAGAAAGTATCAACAAAGGAACCCCAGAAAGTAGAGAATAAAGAACTGAATGGCCCTATTTGAACTTGGCTTTGGTTAAAGTCAAGCAGCTGAAAGAGCTCCTGACCCGCATGTAAAAAATAGACGGGGAAATCACATATTCTGATACTTAATTTAGAACCTGACATTCTAAACTTACTCTGTGGGTAGTTAAGTCAGAACCAGACACTACTCTTGCTATGCATTATCATTTCAGAAACACAGCCCTCTGAGTCCCAGTATACAGAAACGTCTTAAATGATGTTACAAATAAAATTCACAATAAAAATCTTATTGTTTTTAGTCAAGAGTAAAAACTCCAATTCTGCTTATGTTTCTTGTTACAAAACTGGGAGTGTTTTGCTCATTTTGAGAGCTCTGGTAAAATGACATATAGATATCTATAATTGGAAGAATGAAAATGAAAAGATTTTCCCAAAACTGTTCTTTTTGCCAGGAGCATGTCTGCGTCTGCCCAGTTTTCCTCAGAAACATCTGCAGTTTCTAAGGAAGTTGCTAATCTCTCTCTCTGAATCTTTCTCCTTACTCTTTTTGATCCATTACTTTCAGCATTCTTCCTTCATGTGCCAAAAAGTCACACTGAACCTCAGATCCTAATGCTTGCTTGCCTACAACCCCCCCCCCCAACTGGGGGAAGTTACTCACATAAAATACGTTTTATGAAGAAAATATGCTCTCTCTTTAATGCTTTCGCCTACCACCCCCCCCCCCAACTGGGGGAAGTTACTCACATAAAATACGTTTTATGAAGAAAATATGCTCTCTCTTATGCACCAGTGGCTCTCACATATGGTTTGTGGCCTCCACACTGCTTACTAACTGGCCACACAGAGATAACAGAGATAACAGACTACACAGCTGACTCCACTTCTTCTCCCCCCACCGTTGCACCTGGTGCGCATCCTTGTCTCCTCTGTGAAGTGACAGGGCACAGCTGAAAAAGCCGAGGTACATTCACTAACTATGGTAGATGTGTAGCTGGTTCTACCAGCTCACTGACACTTGGCGGTAACTGGGAACCATACTGGTCTCATCTCTTAACATCTGTTTTGGCCTCAATAGACTAACTCTGTCCTACATCAAAAGTCTTGCAACAGAAGGGGAGTACCTCCAGTGGCGTATGTCCACTCTAGAGGCTATTTCAGCATCCTCTATATGCCCAGCATAAGCCTATTACGGAGCCATAGCCAAAAGAAGGGTGGTAAACGCGGGGCATCCCTGTATGCTGTTCTTGTGATCTGTCCTGCTGCTGTAGACTACAGGAGTCCAGAGGCTACAATACCCCATTCCATGGAGCAGAGACCGGTCTCCATCCAGTGCAGAGTCTCACAAGTGGTGCACAGACTCCTCATATCCACCGACCTAAACCAAGCTCAGCTTGCTCACAGGTCAGATTTCAGACATTTTCTAGTGAAAGCTGAAGCAATCTACACATGACTTAGTTTGATTTAATGAAAGTACCAAAAGAATCAACTACAGCGTTGGAGAAAGGAAGTAAAACTGAAAACAAGGCTCATACAACAAGGTTAGCTTCTTGTATCTTTATTAAAGGAAAGTGTAAATTAAAAAGATGACTACTACTCGTAGCAGTGAACTGGTGAATTGGATCCAACTGATAACCCTCTCTTCAAAATATGGGTCTTCCATCCCATAAAGAGCTTTCAGCATAGACTAGGCTAGACAAATGAAGGTATCTGGTAAAGAACAATGGCTCAAATAAGATGGGGGATAGTGTGCTGTAAGCAATGGAGATGACAAAATGGAAATAAGTTACAGGGAAGAAATATGTTTTATGAACAGAATCCTTGGTGCATAAGAAATAAGGTAAATCTCAAGCCTAGGTGAAGCATGATAGAGGCATGGAGTGGAGGGCAAGAGATGAAACGACGGGGAGGGGCAGAGTTAGGAACAATGCAGTGGGAGTGAGAGTAAATTTCTGGTAGGGCTAACTGGCACAGCTCCCCAGTTCAGGTCCTTGGGGTCAGATGCGTGCTAGCACTAGTACCAGGGCAGGGAAGCACATTGGGAATAAAGTAGCAGGTGCCTGGGTGCCAGCAGGAGGTGAAGTCTGTGGCCTTGTACCGTTATGTTAGTTAAGATTTAAAAACTGACTTGCAGTTAGATTGCTTTCTTGGCTTAAAAATACATATAAAGTATTCCTAATTGCTCTATTGGAGCATAGCTTGTTGCCTGGAGGAAGACAAGAGTTTTCAAAACTGTACACCTTTGAATTTCAGAACATATATAAAGGCCAAAACTTTCTACAAAGCTATCGTCCTGCTGGCAGAGTGACTCCAAATGCCCAATATGAAATTCCCAGGGTCCTGGAGAGCCTGAAAATGTAGGATATAGACACCTCTCCAGCTTTATTGCCAGACTGCCTTCTAATCCTCAAAGTGTTTGCTCCATCTGCAGAGGCTTTCTGGAGGACCAGGTTAAACCAAGGCCAACAGTTCCCCTAACCATTGTTGCATTTCACATGAAAAATGGACAAAACGACCAAGTCCTTAACTAAACAAACTGTACCATACTAGCAAATGAGTTGCTCACTTTGCAAAGCAGACAGTACAACTCTAAAAACCAAAGAGAATTGACTAACATTTTGAAACTGAAGAATTCACTTACTATCAAAATAACGGCGCTCGGTGGGTGAAGCACACCTTTGCGAGGTAGGTAATGTGATCTACACTTCCCGAACTGTATCACTGAGACCAAGAAAATATGTCAGTAAGCCAGTGCAATGAATAAAAACAGAGCTGGTGGTATACTAAATACAAATCTGATGACAAATGACAAAAACCAGAATTCCTTAAATCAGACTTATTTCAAACTGATCTCACTGGAGGCCTTGCTTGCTGTTCCTAATCCTCCTTTTGGCATAGGAGTGCACAGAGTAAGGACACACACATGCTCATTATCTGTGCACATTTGCAGGCTGTAATTCTAGTAAACATTAGATAAAAACAAAAAAGGTCCTTGAACTTTGAAATAAAGAATAAAGCTTTGACTTCTATTATAATTAAAATTTTTGAAAACAGCCTTCAGTTCAAGCCCCGTGTTAACCACTGGTGTTCATCGACTGACACAAGGATTCAAACCAATACCATAAATGGGAAAACCAGCCATTCTGTAAGGAACACGTCTGGCAGGATTGAGCAGTCCACATACAAGCCACGACTTTCAGTGCGGTAGTCCATTATTCTTTATGTCCACTACAGAAACTGTGCTTGCCAGCTTAAACCTATGGATGTCTACATACTTCATTTTTTATCTGAAAATATCTGTACCAAAACAAACCAAGCCAGATGTTCAGCCTGCAATGAGACAACAATATGAGGATGAGCATATGGCATTTCAATTCTTACATCCTAGCAGAAATCCACTGTCTTTATTAACTCGTTTTGTTTCAATATGCACGCTTCATTAAGCCAGCACAACCTTTAAACATTACTACCTTCACACCACTGCAAAGCTATGTCAGCCTTTCTACTAGAAAACTTACCTGCCAGAGATTGTTATTTGAAAAATTCCTCATACTAAGGAATTTGGCTTAATAAGGAATTCATATTCTACAGTTCAAAACAAATTTACTATGATTTTCTTCTTGCTTTGCATTAAGAGAATGTTATCTGTTCTTTTTTCTTTGGCAAAGGAAAATGAGATATTGTTGCATATACTTGATTCTTCATCTGGATTCCTGCCTTCTGATATTTAGATAAACATAATTTAATACACCAGAAATATTTAATGTTTTACAAAGAGCTTCTGTTCACATTTGGTAAAACTTCTTTTGCTAACCTGTGTGCAGAAGGATTCTTGTATAAGAGGAACCAGTTCAGCTTCCCCATGAGCAGCTGTTAATGTAGGCACACATTCAAACACGCAGTTGTCTGAAATAGCAGTGCTCTAGACGTTGAAAGTCAAGAAGGGCCAGCTCAGGTTGCAGGGCTGCATGGCCACCCCTGTGAGATGGTGTAATCACAAGCCAGTGAAATCCTTCTCCTGCTAGGAGGCTATTACTGGTCACTCCTCGCACTTCTTACAAGCATCGGGATTGGCCTTTAAGCAGCGATTCACAGAGGTATCACACTGCTCTGCCTCCCTTGCTGCTGTCTTGGCTCGCTGCATTCATTTCCATCCTATTTTCTGCAAGCCATACATACCACACAACAAATTCTGTTCCAAATGTCTCCTCATTTCTCCTTATCCAGAAGGTAGTTTAAAATCACAAATGGAAAGAACGTGTCACTTGAAGCCACGGTTGTGACTTGTTCACGCTTTTGACTTCAGAAGAAATTCTGATTTGTTGCTTCTTAGTTATGGCAATTTCCAGTAGATCTCCCATTCCCTTGGCAGTAATGAAGAGCAATAGTTTTGTCTCATCATAGTCATTAGGAAATACTGTTTGCTTAATGCTTAGTTACAACAGTGATTTACAAACTATAAATGCCTACAGCAGAGACACATTTTTCAGGGTTCTGCACATAGACTGCTTCAGCTGCAACATCAGAGTGTTAGTTCTGCTTTGCATAAGAGCACAGACTACACCAGATCGCTGTTAGTCAGAGGCTTCTAGTTTTCATCTCAGATTTCTCTGGCAGCGTGACCCTGGGAACACTTCGCTTCCTGGCAATAAATAGCAAAGAACTACCAATTAGTTGCATTTGTTTCCTAATACTCTATATTTTAAAAGCGTTCCTCCTTTGAAGCATCTGTAAGAGCAGTACAAAAGATGCCAGGTAACACAAAATTCAGCTGAAGTACTTAAATACATTTAAGGTAACAGGTGCATCATACTACCCTGCAAGTGCAGGTACAGAATTTTCTCTACTGTCACCAGAAATTAATTTCATAATATTAATAGAGATTCAAGATCCGTGATTCAACAGTATTTCAGCACTTACAAAATTTACAGAGAACTGCAGGTTACAAAACTGTGCAACGATGTTTGAATTCTTCTAGAAAGCCCCAACACCAGGGATGAGAAATGTAGCAACAATTGGCAACAACAACTTCTGTAACAGTTTGGATCACTTAGGAAATTTTACAAAGTGTATCCCAAGTAACCAATCTACAAGGATTAATGTTGAAATGTAAGAAAAGAACACTGAATGAAGGAAAAGCATTCTGTCCTAATTCCCCCACCATTTAAGACTTATTTTAATCACCAATTCAAATATGAATTTAACAAAGAGCTGGCTTCAGAAACAGCAACAACTTCAGAAACAAGTTAACTTGTGTGTCAGCTGAGGAAGAAATCAGTTCTGTTAAAAGTCAACTTCAGGTAACGTTTAAATATATGCTAGACTTTTGAAAATTCTGAATATGACGACAGTATTACCCTTTTTTTTTTTTTTTGAGTTTGCAGGAGTTTTCACTTGCAATTTGTACTTTCTAGTACCACTTTAAAATGCTATTGAATTTCTGAATAAATTACTTAATTTGCATTTCTCTAACGTATTATGACCAAATATATTTTGATTAGAAAAAGAGCTACCTAGCTAACTAGCCTATCTACAATACACTGGCAAGTCGATTATTTTTACTTACTTATTAAAAACGGCCAGAGAAATTAGTTGACTCATGCTAAAATCAAGCTCCAGATCAGCTACAGACCCAGAAACTGCCTAGATCTTCTGTTTCAACACTTTAAAGTGAAACCATGTTCTTCCTCTCATAGGAGCTTTTCATGACGATACACCTCACAGTGCCAGATCAGCTCCAGTAATGAAATACCTATTGTATTGTGGCAACCAGAGACAATACCTACCCATGACAGTCACACAACAGATCACCCCCTTCTACAAAGCAAACTACCAGTATGAGTGAAAACAGAAGCCCTTGAAGATAAGAAGATGTGGTACATGAACAAATTACTATGAAGTAAGATAGGTGTGATCTTGCCATGGAATAAATGTCAGCCCAGGGACAGCCCACTGCAGAGTAGCCTGTGTGCATCCATTTTACACTCCAGTTTACCTTGCACTATCTTGCTCACCAAGTTGTTTTATGACACTGGAAAAAAATCACTTCATCCCTCCATGATTGTTTTCTCTCTCAATTCCTTACTCCGTTTTAGCTCATGAGTCTGAGAACGGCTTGAGACAACAATCTGTTGTGGATTTGAAGAGCGCCTAGCAAAATGGAGTCCCTGGATCAAGGTATCTAGACACCACTGCAATAATAAATAAAAGAAATCTTACTGACCTACAGACAATCTAAACTGATCTATATCATTATGCTGAATCAGTGAACTCCCTATGACAACAGCTTCAAGAGGAAGTAGGCCGAAGTCCTCTTTCTGTTCCTGTAAGAAAGACAGATTGTATTCCTTGAAATCTAGTGTACAGGAGGTAAATTCATTCTTTAGAATCAACCTTTGAAAAGGAAGTCGTCGATGTTTATAGATATATTGAAAGGCACAGCTGTCCTTTTTCAAAACCAGAGGTATATACAGAACAAACTCCTCTTTTAGTCACACGTTTATCACATCCTTATCTCAAAGACTAGCAGCCATTACACAGTGAAGTTCAAACTGTGCTTTGGGTTTCTTTGGGTTTAAAAAGTGACATACGTTAATTTGGAACACACACACACACACACGATTTTTCAAAGCTTTTCAATGCGCAGTTCCGAAACTGCTTATGCATACAGCATTAGCAAAGTACAGCAAAGTAGGAAAGGCTACTTAAGGCTCAAGCTTGGTTTTCTTGGTTATATTTTGTAGCCCCTCATAGGTAATCTTAAATCTCGATGGGCCTCTAGATCACGTGTTCAATACCTGCGATTTTAGATAAGAGAGAGAGACAGACAGACAGACAGCAACTGTGATTCAGTAACAATACTGAAAATAAAACAGGCAAATCTCAAGAAACTCTGCTCTAAAACCTCATTTATACCAACAGCGTGGTTGCCATTTCTCAGAGGGAGAACCTCCCCACTTCTGAAATGCTCATTATCAATGCACAACAAACAAATAAATTCAGTAAAATTGGGTAGCATCATTACCACTGCCCTAATGTAATAATAAAACAAAACATATTTACTACATATATTTATTTGTGGCATTCACCCATACTGAGAATACAATTACAAATCATGCAGATAATACATACTGAAAGACAACATGGTTATTCAAGATACAGAGTATTATTAACAGAAATGTACTTATTTAGAGAAGTAAATGTAATTTAGGTATACTGTGAGTTTATATTTCTCTGTTCATGAACACACGTACAATAATTGAAATATTCAGAAGAGGGGTATGCTCTGTTTTTTTGTTTTGTTTTTAAGAGGCTTTCCTTTCTGCAGCATTGTGGCTGCTAGAAAAGTGTCGTTTCATTAACCTTTAACTTAAGAAATGAGATCAAGAATTATTCAGACGCAATTTAGAATGGGGCCCAGCTCAGTGAAGCCCATGTCACACATCAAAACAAAGACAACAACCCTATTCACTCAAACCCATAAACAAGAAAGAAAAATATGCACGGTGTCAGAACAGAGAGATGTAGGTTACTTATATCAATACTTACTGTAATTTATAATTTTATAAATGTTTAATATTATTTAGCAACAATTTAGGAGTGGCTAAGTAAAAAAAAAAAATTGATTCATTAGGTTTGCAGAATTCATTTTGTTTGGGATTTTCAAGGCAATGGCAACAAAGAGAGTTAGATGTCTAATCAGCATGGGAGGAGAGAATCTGCTTTCTCTGAAAACCTCCAACTTACTATGTAGTACCTTTCTAGCCTTCGTAAAAGAGTATCTAGCTGATCCATATCCCTAGGTTATTTACAAACAAAGGATTTCACAGCTAAGTACAGAATGGGTCAAGATTTCATTTCATACAATGGTCCTAAATATTAACATTTTAAATACTTTTATTCTGCATACTCAGAAAATAATTCATAAGCCTGTAAGTGCTGTCTGAAAACAACTGAAATGGAAAACAATTCTAGAAAGGAATTCTATGCAATCAAGTCCTCTCCACAAACATGAAAACAATACAATTATATGGTTCAGTCTGGTCCTTGTGGGAAGAAGAAAAGTTATCCTTCATGACATATTTCACAAAGACAATGACCTTACAGAATTATTATATACAGAGCAGAACACCTAAGTCACTTTTTAACCACCCTTACAAAGAAAGGTTTACTTAATAATATTTCAACAAAAAGGCAAAATTTTCAGCCTAAGGCTGAAACTTTACTTCCAAAGCACAACAAACAGCTTTGTTCTACAAAATTTACTTCAGGCAGGTATTGACAACATTAAATTCATCTGGGGAAGAAACACTACATTAACCTCATAAAAGAGTGATCTATACATTAAAGACATAGTAAAACTTGAACTTTTTCTTATTCTTTTTATAAACTAACAGACATGAAACTATGGGGAGGCATTAAAAGAACGATGAAGTTGCAGCTTATTACTGTCTATATATCAGAATAAGTTATGTTATTCAGATTTCTTGAGGAGGACTTTTAAAAGAATATTTTACTTTCAACTGAAGCACACACAAAAAAAATCCAACAATAGATTTACCTCTCTTCATAGGGAAAATAAATCAAATTTGGTTCTGTACTAGGATATATTTTTCATGCCCAGGAATTTAATATTATGAAAGGCCTTTTCTAATCATAATATTTTATCAACAGAGAGGATTATCTTCACATCTTGCTTGCAAGTCAAGATAAGTCAGAGGTAGCTTTTAGGAATGCTTTAGAATTTAGTGTTTTACTTGAAATGAATCAATCCCTCTTTCAAAGGGGTTAATAATAAGTACAAAAGGCAAACAGTATATACAGCTGCCACTGCCTGCACCAACAGAGTAATTCCAAGAAGCTCAAAATAAGACTAGAACAAGGAAAAGCACGGTGCACTTCT